CCTAGGCAGTACTTCTAAATCCTAAGTATTCTATGCTTTTTTACCATAAGCAGATTTTTTTTACACGATCATTTTTACATCGCAAGATCCACTCAAATTTTGTAGACGTCTTCCTAGCACTAAGTAATTTTAGTTCCTTGTAAAATCACCTCGAAAACTGCATATACATTCAAGAAAATACGCAAAAATCAATTAGATCCTTGACGGATATTGCAAATTAATGCCTATGAAATTCTCTCCATTAAAAGTCGGTGGTATATATACAGGTGGCACCCGGATGGCCATTTAAGTCCTTGATGAGTCGTTGACGGAACGGATTCGCGCTAATTTGCCGGGAGATTAGGTATAGCCGATATATATGTATAAGTACACCGATGGTGCTCGCTCATCCCGATGCCGGACGCGTCAGAAACGAGCGAGTAAAAAGTTGCGAAGAAAAGCTCGTTTTACGTCGGAAAGAAGAAGCTACATACATATATATATACCAACACATTTCGGAGAGAAAAAAAATTCTCACGCAAGAGGGAAGCAATCAACTCGCTACCATCTTCTTCTGATTGCTTTGTCCATACTTAGTTTGAGGAGATCATGAAGTATTGACAGATGTTTGGGTGCGTTGTTTTATGAGTGTCGTACCATTCTTGTGTTAAGTATATTCGTGTACTTAACAAATCTCGAGGGAAATCGGAAATTATTGTAGTTATCGTAATTAATATTCTGGCGTACGTATAAACGAATTATGCTGTTGCTTCGTGTTTCACTAAACTTAATATTATAGTGCCTATATATTGTCACATAAACTTACCCAATTGCGTAGTAAGCTCCTTTTATGATTTTTTCCCGCTCGTCGAATCTATCCAACAAATCTCGTGTTAGTTATCTATTGGAAATTCATAAAGTTATGCCTTAGAAACCAACAATATTCGAAGAAAAAAAAAAACATGTTTTTATGGTTAAAAAGTGTTTGTTTACTCGCAAAATAATTTTCAATCAAAATTGATAAAGTATCATCTCTGAATGAAAATTTATCTCCAACATATTTCAATAATTCAAGTGATGTAATTTTATTTTTAATACGATGACTCATATACTTACGAGTATGTAGTGAAAAAGATTAAGATAAAAAAAAAATCACGACTAAGATTATTTACTACGAATAATTATTAAAGTTCCATTAAAAAAGTAGTACAACCAAGATACGTACCAGATCCTGTAGATGAACCACTAATGCGACAACGATATTCATTAACTCGTTAGCTATTGTACTCGTGAGAATAATGTACGAAAACAAAGGCGATTGATCGTCGAGCACTCGAAATTCATAGTGATTCTCAGGAGGACTATACTCGCCCGAATATTCCCTGTTATTTCAGTCTCTTGATCGGAAAATGTTGTTTCTAGGGTATAGAGAGAGATAGGAATGGTTTTGGTTGCGATACCCCCGACCCTTGCCGTTCCCTCGAAATGTATTCACTCGATATGCTTGTAACAACGAGCCTATATAGCTATATCTGTTTTGAATTTGTATTGACGTATTCCCATGTGAAACCCCCTCCATTTCCGGTCAATGAAGAACTTATCACACGGGATAGGTCCTCCTTTTTTTTCCAATGATTATAGTTGGTAGATATGAGAATCGGCCTTTCGTCGGTTGACCACAAAATCTTGATCAAAGTCAGCTCCAGTGATGCTGCGCTACAATTACATGAATCGCAATTACCCCCCGTCCCCCCTTCGGTACACAAGTACACAATATACACGATGCAGCAGATGTTCGAGATGCCCCAAGATATGAGGTTTACACGCGAGACAAATCGGGTTAATTGGTCAGAGATCCCTTTACCTATATATATACACGCGTGTTATGCTCTGAGCTACTTAGGCTCGACGCCGCTCGACTGGACCACGATGCACGTGTACCTGGCTCGCTCGGGTGCTCGTCACAATCAGAGAAGCCTGGCTAGCCTGACCTTCCCGCACACACCTATCCATCTTGCTATTGCACATTGTAGTGTCGGGGCTCCAACCGAGTAAAAAACTTTTATAAAATTTGCTTAAAATATATCCTTGTTCGTTGAAAGTGATTAGAAAATTGTCGGTGGCGCCACTCGGACAAGCTGTCTGCAATACCATTAGTTCACTCAGTCAGTCGTATAGTGGCGCCGAGTGTCACCAAAACACTCAACGTCATGGGACTGTGTGTAAAGTACCATGAGCTCTGTGTATGGTACAAAAATAAATATGTCAAAAATCACAAGTGAATCGAGCGATTGTAGCCCCCCGGCAGTAGCTGATCGAAGGGAGCAAAAATTTGTTTGCCCGAGCCGGATAAGCAAGAGACGAAGAGGCTCCCTCTCGGGGATAAACAAGTTATCCCGCGCAAATACACGCGAGGAAAAGGGGGGACCGCGTCCAATTAGCCCCCCAGTGCCCCTAGCGAGTGGTTGGCCGCGCGGCAAAGTTTTATTTGTCTTCGGGGACGTTGTCGTTGGGGTCCATCGATCGCCACTCCGAGGGTCGGCCGGGACTTTCAATCTCGGGCGATCCTAATGCCATCGAGTTCCGGAACCGCCGCTCGAGTGGAGGATCCCGGGCTCTCGGTGATCCGTGGGAGGACACGGCCTCTAATCATCCTAAATGGCCGGACACTTCCGACCTAAGATGTTGACCCTCGACTAGCACACGCTCACTTGCGGCCGCTCCAACTTTTTCTTCCTCCACTCTTTGGTATATATATATGCACGTGTTTGCCCTCGACTTGTCACTCGCGGAACTCCCACATCGACGGCTGGTGCTTCTCATGAGATTTTGTGAAAACACCTTGACTCGATACTTATACCCCGACTCTTTGTATAAGCATTTCATTCGTTTATAGGAAGCGTCTCGTGCAAAATCTGTTTCCATCGGAAGGGGCTGCTCGTACGGTGCGCGGAGCTCACGTGGGAAACAAAAAATGACAAAGGGGCGATATACTCGAAGAAACTGATTTAAAGTTTCATTCTGCCGTGAGAGTTGTCGGAGGAGTTTTCTTACACATTGACGGAGTAAAAAAAAAAATAATAATAATATCCGCGGACTATCCCTCGCAGCCGTCACGAAACCATACGTGTGAAAAAAATTCCCATCCGTCTATTGGTCCACGAAAGTTGAAGAGATTTCGAAACGTCAAAGTTTCTCATCCATTTGGCTCATTTATTTTTCACCAGAGCTCCACGGGGTGACAAAAGCTCCTCCTTCTTTTGTACCGGCACAGTTTCGGTATTTCGCGTCTCCAATATATATACACACTCGAGGCACTTTTGCCGTTTTCGATCTCCCCCCCCCCCTTTGAGCACCAAGTTTTACTTCATCTTCGTGCAGCGACGACGGGAAATAAAAGGGATGGGGGGGGGGGCAAACGCTTAGTCCCCTCTGCCCAAGGATTTCCCCCGTTTCGAGTACTCGGGGAAAGTAAGAGGTCCTTTCGAGCCATCGGTCGCGCGGGCGAGAGGGTAACTCGAGTCGAACATCCTTTCCCTTAAGAACCGAGGCTCGGAAGGAGGGATCCTTCCTTTATACAAAGAAACTCCGCGAGAAAGCTCGCAGTGGTGCGCGTCGTTCTATGTACTTGTTGCAAATAAGTAGCACAAACAATGGACCTACTGCATGCCCTGGAACTTCTTCACCAACTTGGATTTTCATAATCTTTGGCCGTTTCTATTGTCGTTTTGCGCACAATAGTATATATATATTAATATATATTTATACATTTTTCCGTGTGGTGTAAGGCTTACGAAAGCCAGACGACTAGACCGATTTCGAGAGTAACCCGATGGCACGTAATTACTTTCCCTAAAACAAGCAGAGCTGGGGAAAAAAGAGGGTAAATGAACAGCCAGTGCGGGTTGTGAGGGAAAAAAAAGGTGTCACTTGAAAAAAAAAAAAAAAAAAAAATACGACGCATGATACCCAACGATCCAGAGACTCGGAAAAGAAAAAAAAAAAAAAAAAAAAAAATGGTGGTACACCCGAGTGTGTATTTACACGACGGTTGCGAGCAGTGAGTGGCGGAGGAGGTGTGTAATGCTCTCAAGTGTAGGTATAGAAGCTCACAGTGGTAGGTCTCGCGTGGATTAGTGGTCGTATATAACCATACGATTCCCGCACGCAGCGGAGGAGGAATTTTCTCTTTTGTCCCACGGCAAAGTACTGTATATATATATACACACACGCGCACGAGGAAGCGGGGAGAGGTCAGAGGTGAGCTGAAACAGATACGCGCGTAATGCAACCGCATAATCCATCGCCCGGTGCCACACGTGTATATATATTTAAGGTGTCTCCTCTCCCATCTCGCGCGATTAGACGGCAGGCAGCGAGCTCGCGACGATTCAAACTGGCAGTGCTGGCTTTATAAGCACTTTGCGTAATTGACTCTGTGCTCGCGTCGTTGGTATATTATACCTGCCATGCTTACCTATATGCCTTTCTCCCTCGTCGTAGGTATACCTATATACACTCTAGTGCCCGTGCGTCTACTCTTCATCTTCCTCCTTTGGTGCACCACCTCTTACTGTGTGACGCGTCGAACGCCAACTTAATTGGATGCTTGATTAGTTTATACACACCAACCAACCAACAATTGCTCCCACGTCTATAATTTGTTATCTCTCTCTACTCTCTTTCTCTCTCGCGTGTATATGCAGGGTAAGAGAATCCCGACGACTCGAATGGTTGATTTTTTTTTGGTTAATATGATCAGCCCGGTGGGTTTATTAAAAATAATTAGTGGATCAAGTGCTGGTACATCGCGTGACACGGAATTTCGTGAAAAATTCGGCGTTGAATTTAACACCCACCCTCTGTATCTACCCTCTCACGCTCCCCAATATTGAACGCAGCTTTTTTTTTTTTTTTTTCCTCCAAAACCTATAAATTTTCCTTGAATTTCATGCAATGAGCAAAAAAACGTATTGAAATCAAAGCGTATATGTCTCTTTTCCAGGTGTACCGGAAGCAGTTGAGCAGCATCGGATAGGGGGCGAGCTGTAATTAGGCGGAAGCCAATCCACAAAACGAGGCCGTTCCGAGTGAGTACATATACGTGCAATCGAAATTTCAATTTCCCCAAAAATTAACGCGCGAGCAGGTGATTTCGACGCAAGACCAGCTCACGTGATTGCGAAATTCTTTTTTTCCCCCCTCCACCGATCCGGCCTCCATTAACCGGGTCAATAATTCCAAAAGCCAAGTGCCTCTCCCCACCCCCACTTTTTTTTTGTCTCTCCAGCGAAATACCCCCGTCCTCCATGTACGTATATATGTGTCTTAGCTCTCGGTGTAACGAGGATATATATCCAGAGTACTCCAGCGCCACTAGTTCAAGTGGATGACAAGCATTAGGGGGATAAAAAAAAAAAAAAAAAAAAGAAGAAAAAAGAGAACGATACACAGGCCGACGGTACATAAAGAATCCCCTCGAACTCGCTCGGCCTCTCCCGTTACCGCTATACCATATGTACATGTATACGCCACTCCTGCACTGGCTTCTTTGCGACACTCGACCCTGCGTGTACACATATGTATACACCCGATCTGTCGACCGTACGCTCTTTTTCCCCGCGGAGGGGAGAAATTAGACCAAGTGCCTTCTTTCTCATCTCCCCCCCCCCCTCGTTCCGTGCGGCATTGATCGTTAAAACTAGCTAGTTACGAGAGAGAGAGAGAGAGAGAGAGGGAGTTATCAGAGCAGGGGAAGCGGAAATTAGGTGTGCGCGTGAAAATATAGATTACCCCTGAACGCGTGTAACAGAGTCGGAGGCGAGTGAAAAGATTGCGCGGGAGGTGCTCGCTTTATAGGTGCCTCTGGTTATATAGGGATACGTGAAGCGACGAGCGGAGATTGCGCGCCGGGGACACAACTGCCGGAGCGGAATCTACAGAGCACAATGAGCATCTGCAGCCTCTGCTGTACAGAGGAAAGAAAAAAAAAGAAAAAAAAGATAATAATAGTGAAAGGAGAGCGATAGGGTATATAATATATATGTGTGAGCTATTGTCTCTGGCGGGAGATGTGGGTCAGTCCGACTTTCTGTAAAGGGTAGCTCGGTAAATGCAGCCGGCGATACAATAACGTAGCGGCGTCTTGTATCATGGCTTCGGTCTATACACGGGGGAGGCGGACAAAGTTGACTTTGCACGAGTGTATAGTTCGCCGTGGTGTATAATGCATACGTATATTAGCTGCGTCGGAGCGCACGTGTACACTGAGATATCGCCGAGTTATTCAATATTAAAAGCAGACGTCAGTGTATGGTGTGGGTATATACGCATACGCCGTACGTATAGTATACATCTGTAAAACCACTGACCAAGGAACGGTTCGGCAAAGGGTGAGATAGACCGTGTACACGTAAACATATTATATAGGTACACCGTGTGCTTCTTTGCTCGCCGATGCTCCATTGAACGCTTTACCGAGCGCGCTAAGGTTTTCTATCTTACTTCGTGCATCACTGAATGCTCAAGGGAATGAGAATATCGACCCGTGGACCAGCCTGACGTTGGTGCCATAGTCCTGATTTTGAGCTCCAATGTAGGTCAAATTTGCATGGAAATAAAAAAAAGTGTACAATCTTCCTGTATTATTATACGATTGTGATGATTGTAGTCTGTAAATCCATACTCATCAGTCGGATTGTCGGTCCCGCGTCGTACATATGGGAATTTTTTGTCAAAGGACGACTTGGCTGTAGACTCCACTTATACCACCGTAGTCGTGGAATAGGTAACGAGGAATTAAAAATTCCAAAACAAATTTGTGTGTGCGTGTGTGTGTGTGTGTGTGCTTCGGTGCAGGATCAAAGGAGGCGAGTGTACCCACGCGCTGAGAGCGAGAGGGATATAGTATAGGGCTCGAGTGTTTTAATTGCAATTTGCCTTATTTTCTCATTTAGATGTTGATGGCCGCTCGCTGCACCGGTAAGGCCATTATCCGACGCTCCGGGACCCGACCGACCGGCTCCATAAATGTACACCCGCGTTATATATACATACACACAGTGCCGCGAGGCCCTAAATTCTCGTTCCGAGCGTAAGTACAGCTTATATATATATATATATATATATATATATATATATATATGTGTGTGTGTGTGTGTGTGTGTGTGTGTGTGTGTGTGTGTATGTAAGTATCTACATAGGTACACGGGGTGATTTGATTTTCGCGATGCACCCAAGCGCTCTCCGGTGTCTAAGATCCTTGGCCTCGCCTCAAGTGAATGAGGCGCAACATCTCCCTCCTACTCCTCCGTCTACTCCTCCGCTTGCACGACTCGGTATAATGAACCCCGGCTACCGTCATTTTCCTTCCCTGTGTACGTTTTTGTGACGCCTCTTCGTTTTTTCATTACCTCTACGCTGTACTATGTACTGCTGACCCTAATAATCATACACATGTGCACTCGTATACTTTGAAATTGAAGGAAACAAAACCCTTGGTGGGGGGTAAGATTGTGTATCTTTAGTGGGCGATGCGTGCCCCTGTACCTTGTAAAATGTAAAAAGGACGAGAGCTCGTGAAACCCGAAGGATCGCCCGCTCGGAACCACCAATGAATCCGTGACGTGGTTTAAGATTGCGGATGAACTTTAGCATCGGGAGTGGAGAGAGGAGGGAGAGCGTGGGCGCACCGCGTAATCACGGGGGTTGATTGAACACACCGGAGGATCACGTTCTACGGGAGGGGCACACGGTGAAGAGAGAGAGAGCCAAGAGCCTCCCCCCCCCCTGCGCTCGTCCAACTCTAGAGCCAGTCGAGCTCGCGCGAGTGATTTCGTTATCTCGCTCGTGGACCCCCGGTATATCGGTCGCCTTACCTACTCACGTGAGTAAACACCAACACCGAATCCGTGGAATCTCTCATCATTATACCTTTGTTGTATATTATGTAGGCACTACTTATGAGTAGGTGTGACAGCTGCAGCGCGCCATCAGTGTTTTTTAATTGGCTCTTAATAGTTATATGTATGCACGCTCCAGAGGCCATCCGGGAATTGCATCGGGATATATTTTTCGCATCTTATTGACTGCTTCGATAATTGGCCCGACACACCCCGTGTACCTGCGCGATGCCATTTTCTTCAATTAGGGCAGCTTGTTTTGACATTGGGCGTGTAATAATTGCACCCCGTACACGTAATATAGTCACGCGGGTATGCAGAATAACATTATAGCCTGTGAATTCCAATCGAGTTCGTGTGTTATTGAACGATTCGCGCGAAGAAAAGGGGGAGGAGAAAAGTATTGCAAGTTCGCGCTGCCGCGGTCCTGCAATTCGGTTCGGTAGAAAAGTGTCAAGACGTGACTTGAGCGGCCAAGTGCTCTCTGCGCTCTTATATGCGGACGCTTTTTTTTTCGATGGCTCTTCCGATGGAGGCCAAGAGCCGATCTGGAACAACTGTAGCTTCGCTTCGCGCGCTTCTTTTTTTTTTTTTTTTTTTTTTTTTCTTCTACTTTACATTGTTTCGTCCGAATGACGGATAAGAGGCAGCAGTTTTTCTTTTTCGCGATTGTTTGGGCTCCTCCGAGGCTTCCATTTCTCATTAGGTTCACGTACACTTTTATTAGCACGTGAACTTATCATCGGTCTTTTTTTTTCATCCATTTCCAGGGGTAAATGTATGGTTGTAGATTCAATTTGGCTTCCATAGGGTTTTATTAACGATATTGGTGTGAAAACATTTTTTCCTTTTGCATTGAAAAGCCTTGCTTTGTATTTTCATCGGGTAATATTTACGATTAATTTATACTGCTGGAAAAAAAAAAAATACAATTATTATAATTTTGATTTGGAAGCCTTGTTAATTTCAATCATTGGCGAGTTTGATTTTCAATTGATCATACATTTATAGAGAAAATTAAAGGGTTTACCCAAAATTAATATCAACATATAATTTGTGAAACTCCACCCTGATGAGACCAATATTTCATGTGAATTTGTATTTTTAATCATATATATTAATTTCAAATCTCAAATTTCTCGCGATATTGCCTTTTGATTCAGTCATTCGTTTGTTTTTGCTAATAATTAGTAAACACTCGTAACAATGCTACTTTATTGAATGAATTTCCTTTCGTAGACATCGATAATGATACCATGTTTGTAACATTTCTCTTATACTTTGTACACGAATCCCTCTACTTTTCATAATATTATCATTTCAAATTTCAAATATTGGCTTTTGGTTCCAATATCAGCTCATTTGTATCAAAAATGAGTAAGCTTTCATTACGGTGCAACCTTTTCATGCCACATTTTGCGTCTCGCCGAACTTCGCCATTCGTACTCTGTTAATTGAAAAAACTCAAAATTGTCGTAAAAATTTGCCCTCCGACTTCATTACTCGAAAACATTTAGGGGGAAAAAAAGGGAAAAAAATTCAAGCCCAAACGTCTTTGCAAGACTTCTCCAATTTGTTTGGCCGTTCTGGAGCAGTGCAAGTTCCCCATGGCAGGTTATCATCCTCGGGTAATAGTTTTTGCCAAGCGTCCGAGAAACTAAAGGTATAGAAAGAGAGAGAGGCGAGCCGTCGCGAGCAAACACTCCATTAATTACAGAAACGAAGTAATTAACCGGGAAGCTTAAAACTTGTCCTATCCTGTATTTTATAATTTCCTCCGCTCCGGGTCCATCGGCTTTTCACCTTCCACGCTACAAACAACGACCCCTCGCTCTTTTCCCCGGTAATTGTGTGCCCCTTTAGCCGCTACCCATTTTTCTTACGTCTTCGCGAGCTCCACTTTTTGGAAAGCTTCTTGATCTCCCGCAGCTCGTGTCGGTTCTCGTCGTCTTATTTTCTACAAAACACGCGGAGATCGGTCGCGTCGAAGGGGCCCTTGAACATTGCCCTAATTCGTCGCAAATAATAATAATAAAGTGCCCCGCTTCCCTCGATAATACCATTTACACACACACATCGGCACAGGTAGAGGGCACTTTTTACCATCTCTTCGCTGCAGCGGAAGATAATGTAAGCGGGCGCCGGTGGCGAGATTCATTTAAGAGCACTAGCAGACCCCCAGAGACGCG